AATCGTTATAGTGATTCATTTCAATTGTATAAAATTGACGGAGATAAAAAATGCCGAAATGGACAAACAACTTTCAGAGCAGAATTCGAAATTTTGACAGTATGTGGTAGGAGGGTAAATCATAATAGTATACTGTAACTATGTTTATTTATATGATTTTATAAATTGATCTTCTTTAGCTGATGCGAGGTTGGTATAGGTCTTCGTTGTCGCTGTTGTTGTTGTTGTTGGTGTTGTTGGTCGATGGCTGATTTTTCGGCGATTTCGCCTTCCTCAGAGCGTGGACGTATTTTATATAAGAATACTTTAACTATTCGCTGGAAAAAAGGCTAAAGTATTAATGAAGATCTAACGTATAAGTGAAAGCCATATTGATCAAGAACTACTCATCGTGCTGTTACGAGCGGGACTGCCCGCTTGTTCACGTGGGACAATGAGCGAGACACCCGGCTCAGAAAATCAGTTTGAATTAAGGCTTTTCGGTTCATCTTTGGATATTCGAAGTTTGTCCAAAACGCCTCAAGAGTCTTGCGCGTTGATGTTTTTGATTCCTGCGCTAGGATCCGCACATTCACTTCAAAATCATCGCCGTTGTGCTTTTGTGCCCTATGCGTACCTAGAGGGGTGTTTAAACGGATTTTAGCTTTCCCATCTAGATGTTCTTTTATGCGGACACAAAGTGGTCTGCCCGTTTCCCCGATATATTCCTCGCCGCATGCATTACATGAGATAAAGTATATTGTACCTAAACTCATGCAATCCCCTTCTCTCCCGTTAGGACAGATCAGTCAGTTTTCTGAGCTGCACAAACGATCATAGAGACGGTTTCGAACTAACTGGCGGCGGAGGGTATAGGGTGCGATGTCAATAATCATTACATAATTTCCAAGACCACTTTTTCTTTGATAGCGTAACTGGTTTCGTTTGATATGAAGGGTAGCTTAAAAGGAATCTTACTTAGGTTCGAAACGTTATTTTGGGGAACTAGCCTATGTTTTTGTCTAATACGAATGGCTTTTACTTCGTAACCATTGGATGGAAATGGCTATTTTTCGTGCCAGGTTTAGCGAATCCTTCCTTTCCTCTTTTCCAGTGCACACATTTTTAGCCGTATAAATAAATGTATCAACTATCCATGCCTAGGTTTATGGAAAGTCGGTCTTTTGAGTTATTCTGTAACTGTTAATAATATCGTCCGTGAACAGTAGAGCGAATCGAGCGAATCCCATTCGACAATTCTTTTATGTTTCCAACGATTCAAGTCCTTCTATTATGGAAGGAATATCGTCTATTATCGAAAAATGACAATCATTTTGCATGTGCGAATAGTCGTTTTTGAATAGCGGATGGGTTTTCGATAACCGAGTTACATCCCTTTCTCTCCCTCTTTCTCTCTGTTGCAGGTTCCGTTTTTCTCATTTGTCCACGTTTAGGTGAATCAAATTTTCTCAAGTTTTCCGTGCTCACTGAGACTTTTGTTTTTCCGTGAAGTTTCGTAATAGTGTTTCGTTTTTTTTTAAAACGTTTTAAAGAATAATGCTTTGGTGGAGCAAGCGTAGTGGGTGGAAGTGCCGTGTAACGCACACATGGTGAATGGTTCAACTATGCCCTGACCAACGAAGCGTTTGCTGTACACATATTCCTTAGTCATCAGGGCATTGTTTTTCGTTCCGTCTGTAGCACTGTAACGTAACGCTTACCACTTCCATGTATTCGATGGAACTATAATCCGAAAAACAACGGAGTGTAGAACTTCGTCATGGGATTGGACATTTTTTGAGAATACTGTCGAACTGATCTGACATCGATTCCCGCGCGAAACACACATGATTTGCTCTATCAATACATGCAGGGGGCGCGTGTAGCACAGTGACTAAAGGTGCCCTGCAATGCTCACGTGATTCCTTGTTCGATATCCACCCCTATCTCGTCAAGCCTTCCATTTCTCCGGGGTTGGCAAATTTGCTACCAAGATGCTTGATAAAGTCGAATGTATGACTTATCCCTCAGAGATTGTTCAATGCCGACAGCTTCGTTTATTTATTATATAATGTATGCCTTCGAACGGTGTACCGCCTCATCGTGGCTGAGAGGTGTCCCTGGGTGTCGGGCTGCCACGTTCAACGGGATGTTTCATCCCCTTGGCAGGGTCTCCCAGGCTGAGGAGTCCGGCGTTTCCATAAGCAAGCCCAGCTAAGAATAAATCAATGCCAGAGTCCACCACCGTCCTGATATCAAACTAGTCGCATAGTGGCCAATCGCCCTCTGATTCACAGGCTTGGAGATGGTGACGACCTGGGGCAGACATTGGCCAGGCTGACCTTGGCACTTCAGTGAAACACAATGGCTAAACCAGCAAAATTCCGAAAATAGAGATTGTACTGGGTCCCGCACAACCAGTGAGGACGGCCATTTAACTATCCGGTATGAAGTATAATGTATGCAGAAGACGGTGTGCGGTAAATCATGTTGTTATAATGTTTAACTTTTTGTTTACTGCCTACTAATTTTTTTTTATGGCAGGTTATTATGTGAAAAACAACCACATTGATGCTGAGATATTTGGAAAGCATAAAGGTTAGTCCAGATCCGAACCATGGATTACCCTTTCGGGGGACGTGCGTGTCACCCACGGAACAACGAGGCCTTTGCTTTGTAAATATCTCACCACCATCGTGTTGTTATAATTTCGATGGTTCGGGAGGCTGATAAAGGGATAAAGGGATAAAGGTCTTGGATATAGGAGCGTCGTAGAGATCCCACATGAGTTGACGGGTATTCTTCGTCAATAGTATCTGTGAAGATATGTCGCTTAATTCCAGGCTAAATCTTTACACGCTGCCAACTGCGCTGATAACAAGCATGGCAGCTGTCCACTTATTTACCATCGAAGTTGCACTTGTTGATAGCATAGAACCAAGATATTTTAACTTTCTTTTTGTCCTTACATCTTCATTAAGGTGTACGGTGCCACAGGTATGGTTCCGTTGTGCTTTTTAGTTTTGTCACCCCGTTATTTGAGCTGGTTACAGGTGGTCCATTATATTAACATTCCAGCACGTAAATGTAGCGTCCGTTATATCAGCAATTAATCTGGTTCCGTATGGCAGACTGGAATTTCCAAAAGCTTTAGTGTTTAGAAAATGTTCATTTTTAAATCCTTTTTCACTTCACATCATGCTTGTTCGTACAGTGCTCATTTTGCCGAGCTTCTTTCAAGAAGCTTGCTTCTGGTTATTTTTGCTAGACGATGTGTTTTCCTCGGTTTTACGTCCTTCTATACGAGGAGTGGTTTGTCCTCATTATTATGCAAGAAATTTCAATTGATTTGTAGACTTCGTTTAATACATAGGCGTCGTTTCATCCAATCATTCTAAGCCTAAGCCACAAACATTAAAGTGATTTATATTTTGCAGGTTATTCATTGTTGCCATGTGCAGTAGCTCTTCTTTGCAGTTTCCGTGCCAATTTATTACATTCATTAGTACTTCATTTCGAGATTTTCACATCACGAGGCTCCAATCTCTTCAACCAAATTTTTTCTGCAGTTGAAAGTGTCGATTTGGAGCTGTACGGTTGTTGTACAGAGTAGAGCTTTCTCTCTGAAGCGGTCGAACTTCGTCGTTCAGTTCTCTCGTGACGTTACACTTTTGGTTGTCATTCCCCCGACCTAGCTCGCGCAGGTTTTTCTTTGTTTGAACACTTGTCTAGAACCAGTTGTTTGGAAAATACTTTTTCTTAAGTGTTGGCTAGATGCGGTAGATTTAACATGGCGTTTCATATACTCATGGTTGGTCTTGTACAAATTCTATGTTTATTTTAAATAGTGGTGCTCCACGTATATCTTTTTTTTGCAAATACAAGTCAGATTACGAACCAATGAGTAGAATCGTGTCGAAACGGACTTTTAGGGGTTGGCGCCTGTCATAGGCTTTTTTTGGCTATTTTCTAGCACTGTTCTCAAATGCTCTTCTTCATTCTGATATTCTCACCCTTCTGTGGCTCACAGTTACTATGTTTTTGATTTCATTGCATTGTTTGCCTTTTTAGCCGTGAAATTATTGCATCCGTTCTGTTGACTTATGGCGATGGTGCTTATAAAGTTTTCTTCAGGAGTCACTTAGGGGATGAGTTCTGCCGCTCGACCGACCAGCGGCGGTGGAGGTGGTGGAATTCGTGGGTTCTTCTCGAAACTTCGGAAGCCATCCGACCAATTCTTACAGGTTATCTCTTCTGACCCCACTACATTTTAAATGACAAAAAATACTAGGGTGGCTTTTTTGGCTACCACCGTCGTGATTATTCAGTTCAATATTTTAGGGAAGGAGTTTGAATGGTTGTCGACATGAGGAAGTCATCTGAGTTATTGTACATTGATGTTGCTAATACGTAAATTCCAGTGTTCATTTCAACACAGGAAGTTTTCATAGTCACTGCAAGCAGTGAGCCCATTCCAGAACTATTTCACTCTTTGTTCATCGTATTGGCAGTAGTACAGCGAAATTGACGAGACGTTTCCCTGTGAATCTTCGGATGCTGGAGCTTGTCAACAATTGTGAATTAGGTGCTGAACAAATGTTTCAGTGATATGGGCAGACCATGAAATCGGTCCTTCGTTTATGCTTCTCTGAAAACAGACGTTGCGTCATCTCTCTATTTGCTTCCAGTTTTTAAAGGACTGACCTGAAAACGAAGGTTACCTGACAAGAAGTCATTCGTGAGTCTTAGAAAAATCTAGTGCTCTGAATTTGACCTGGTGCGAAGTAACAGCTGATGTGTCGCCTTTGTTGCAGCGCAACATTTTGTGCAGAGGAACTGTGTCAACTGTGCAAGTCGACCCTGCTACCGTTAACCACTATTTGTTTGCTTTTACCGTCCAAAATATTTGTTCTTGTGGACGAAATGCAAACATTCGTAAATTATACTGGACGAGTAGCGGCGACTGAACACGAAGTGACTGGAAACGTCATTGGGACCGGAGAAGAATACGACGAACTGGGGTGTCTGTATGGACGATGGAACTGCTGAGTAGTTTCAAGTCGAACGTGTGAATTCCTTGGCCATTAATCCCACCCAGTACCCACCCGAACCACAACCACCCCGCGCCATTCGTGGAACGGAGCGCAGAGCGGCGGGGGCGCGCGGGACGCAGAGGCAGCGGCCGGCCGCCTGCTCGCAGTTGTTTTGTTCTGCGGCTGTCTGTCATCTGCGAGTTGTCGGCATTACCGCTTGCACGTACCTCGCGGATAAAGCGTATTTATGTTTGGCCGAGGTCACAACAATGGCGTGGTCAGTTGCTTGTTACTGTTCTCGCTAGTTTCTCAAGCACGCCTCAAGCCATGAAGTGTACGGGCGTGTTTTTGCTTCATGGTGGTTTGCCACCCTGCGTGAGTTCGTTACGCCGGCTCGATGGTTGGATCAGTTCCGTCACCAAATCGAAGAGTAATTTGGAACAAAGCTGGATGAAGTCTTCAGTTCAAGTCTGGTGGAGAAAGTGGGCTCTTTCAGAAGAAGGCATTGGTTATTGTGCGTGTAGAAAAGTCGCTTCATGGAAATTCTCATGGGACGATGTTTCCGAGGTTTCATCGTAAATATTGGGGTAATAGGATTGACCACGGGCATTCCGATATGCTAACAACGTTTTCTTCGTTGCTTGTTCAATCCCGCTCTTTTTTTTCTGTTTCACCCAATAAAATCTATTCATTCTTAGCATTTCGAAGTGGAATATCGAGAAGGAATTGTTTCTGTTTAGGTCCAAGTGGGGACTCGTACCTTTGAGACACAGGAACTGCAGAAACTGATTCCGCAACTTGAAGAAGCAATTCAGGTGTGTAGTTCTAAGGGTAAAATGTTGTCAATATTGGAGTTATTTGGCATCTCTCTAGCGTAAAGACCAACAATTGAGAGCTCAACAAGGAACCGTTGAGAATCACATCCGGAGAATCGCTGAATTGGAGGCAGAGGTCACATCACTGCAGGTACTATGCTGCTTCGTTTCGTTTCTTGTAGTTCCTGTAGTCTGTCTCTTCGTCTTCTGTGTTTGATGGAAAGTCTACTTTTCCAAATGTCCTTGTTACAATATCTCAATAGAATAGCTAATTCTCTGGCGCTATTCTGCTTTTTGCGCTGCTCTCATGCAACGATGTTTTTGAGGCGATCGGGTGCAAACACTCACTCGTGGCGCTGGTCGATTACGCCTCTCCAGGCCTCACGTTGTCCATATTGTGTTGCCTCCGTCCCTTATAGACCAGTGCAGTTCTATAGTGTACGGATTAGTTATAGTTGAACTTCATCACACAGCGATGAAGCCGCTTGCACTTTGCGCTTACTCATGAGGAGTGTGCTTATGAGTGATTACGACGCTAATCAGTTCTTAAGTGTTGTAAAGCTTCTTGAGAGTGGTTTAACGAGACATGGGTTCTGAAATAGTGTTAAGAACTGCTAATGCGCATCACCAACACGTCCATATCGATTCGAGTTCTACTCGTTAAGGATTTTCGCATTGAATTCAGGAATCACAGAATTATAACTAGGTAGCAGCTAGTGTTGGTGATGGTAGCAAGAAAGTCTTCTTGGGGACGGTTATTTTTATTTAATAAAAAATCCTTTTCGAAAAAAATTGCTGTGTGTAAAAACTTGGGGATTGTTAAGTACAGTTTTAAAACATCTGTGAGCAGTTCTCTTTATAATGGTGAGGTTCTGGATTTTCAACTAATGAAAGTTTACAGGAACGTTAGTTTTGATGTTTGAGCATTTTATTGCATTTCTTCATTTCCTTCGCCTACAAGCATGTCCTATAGGTCTAATAACCGTGGTTTTGTCGTTGTGCAAAATGTGGTTTTGGGACCAGCGATATAACCTAGTTCCCAGTCCATCATCCACTCAGCTGTTTTCGACACAATGACTGATACTCCTCTTTCCATAGCTCGATAATTCTTGGATAGCTGTAGTACTTGAGGTTGTGAGAACTTTACGGTATCAGAATTGGCTTTATTTCATTATAGAAGAAGTATGTGGATTTTTTGTAGATGTCATTTCGCTGTTAAATGCGTTTAGAGTTCAATTTCTTAAGAAATTTGGCGCTAAATTTGTGCTTTTAAGAAATTTCGACGCATGCAGACCAGCTAGAGCTCATCGATGAAGTGTTTGAAAACACCACTTTTATCCAGTTGTTTCTTTATTCGAAATACGACCCTCAGCGAGAACACGTTTTTGGATCTGTAAGAACTGGAGTTTAATTATATCAGAATATGGAACAATGTATTTTTTAGCAGCAGTTCGTACATTCTAATGGTTTTTATTTCAGTTAATTAAGCTCGCCGTGACCTGAGGTATATTTGAGTTCAAAGTTGAAAGGCGCAGCTATTTTCAGTTTTGTACGAACGGAAATCAATTCGCACTCGTTTTTTTGTTAACAAACTGTAGGTTTTCTCGACTTTGTCCACGCTTAGAATTTCTTTATTAACCTTAGCTCTCATTTTGTGTACGAGCAAGTTAGTTATGGGGTTTCGTCAAGTTTTCCAGTTTGCCAGTGCTTCGTTCATCTGACAAGGTGTGAAACTGGTTGTGATCGATCTGGTTTTGCTGAGAGCCGAATCTCGACTTCTTAGGTCTTTTGTGCCATTATTGATTGCGTCTACTTGTTTCGATAATATTGAAAGTATCCGTAAACGTTGGCGAAACAGTTTGAGAAGCCGTGGCGCCTTATCAGGCCTTTTTATAGTCAATTTATTTCTCAACTAACATTACCAATGTTGACTGTAGATAAGAAGTCGATTGTTAAAAGCGTCGTGCCGACTCGTCTAGACTAGACGGATTTAATACTGTTTGTCGTAATCGTCAGTGACGATGTAGTTGTCTGGGTTACAACAGTACTGTTTTTTTTTAAATACAGTTCAAACAAATATTCTTCTCTTATCGTATCGGGACGAAGTGGTGTGTGTTCAGCGAGAATGCGACAAGCTACGTTCCGTACTTGAGCAGAAGGCGCAGTCGGCGGCCAGTCCTGGGGGCGGAATCGCCCCGGCCTCTCCGCGATCGGAACAACTTGGAAACGACTTGAAAGAGGTGCTCTTTAGGAATCTCGTCATGGAAGGATGATTGCTATGTGCAGAAGTTTAGAAAGCAGTGTTACCAGCCGATGGTGCGAGTACACGAGCAAAGAAATTGGCAGTTTCTGCAGAACCAACGAATTTTGAGAATCAAGCAACCACTTTGCAACATTATAACAAAACTGCTGGGTACGTTTGTAGTTCCTTGATGCTTACAATTATGGAAAGGTTTTTGCAGGATTGACGTAACAAACTGTAAATTGATCTTCTATTTGAATTGTTTTACGTTACTTCATGGAAGAAAAAGTGTTTGGTGCTTTGCGCTTGGAAGAAATATTGCCAGCTTCCTTTGTGCATAAAAATCTACTGAAATTACCACCTAGTGCTATCCACTCTGTTTTTTCCTGTGTTCGCGTTTTAGCCTTGGTGCGGTGTGGCGACAAATTACTGCGTTGTTAATTTATCAATCTTGGAAGGATTTTTTTCTTTTAATAATGATTCCAGTGTTTTCTTCTTTACTAGTTCTTTTCTCTTTTCGTATTACAATGATGAATAGAATTACTGGATAATTATTCATGTTGTACTTAAATTACGTGGATATTATTTAATGCTGCAGTAAGTGATGACCCAACAGTATTTAACAGGTTCTTTCGTACAGGCTTCGGAAGATCACTTTCGTCGTCATTTTCTTTTTAGTTCCAAACAACTTATACGCGACGCGGTGCACAAAAATGATTTCTTGAAGCAGTTGGCAAAGGAACAAATCATAGAAATAGTTGAATGTATGTATGAGATGCGCGCACGAGCGGGACAGTGGGTTATTCAGGAAGGCGAACCAGGAGATCGACTGTTTGTCGTTGCAGGTGGGTCGATTACTCGCTAAGACATCCTGGCGTTTGATTGTAAATAACTGATATGATACTTACTAGGATACTTGGATGACCCATCCTCACTGGTTGTGAGGGTCCTAACATAATTTCCATTTTTTCGGAATTTTGCTAGTTTAGCCGTTGTGGTTCCCTGGGGTCCCGAGGTCAGCCAAGCTAGTGTGCTCCAGGTCATCACCACCATAGACAGGCGCCGCCTTGTGGATCAGAGGGAGATTAGATTTGTGACCATGCGACTAGTTTGGTACCAGGATGGTGGTGGATCCTGATATTGGTTTACTACTGTCACCTATGAAGATGAAACCGTCGAAACGTCAGCCGCATAGAGATCATATATTGATCTCATGTAAGCTTATCAAAGAAACAATGCGTATTGATTAATCATGCCGACTTAGTTGGGTTTCCTAATGGAAACGCCCTAGTCCTCAGTCTGGAAGACCCTGCTGGAAGATGACTCCCCCACTATACATTGCAACCCATCACCCAGGAACATCTCCCAGCCACGATGAGGCGGTAAACCGTTAAGAGGAAGTGATATGATGCCAGTTGCATATTTAAAAATCCGTTCATTAGTGGGTAAAGTTTGTTATTCGTTGCTTTTAGGGTTCCTTCATGAGTGGATCAAAGTGTAATTTTGGTTGTTTGTGAATGTTGCTCTTTTCTCACACCTGTTACTATGTTTTGACTGAAGAGCTTCTTTGTTTTGAGGAACGCTGGCAATTCAGAAGGGGTTTAACATCCCAAGCAAGCATAATCAATCTTCATAGATTAGTTTTTTTGGTGCGCAAGTAGTCTAGTTAGAATTGTACTGTAATAACGACTCAAGTTTTTTTAGAGGGTGAGCTGCAAGTTTCGCGAGAAGGACAACTTTTGGGAACCCTTCATCCTGGAATCGTAATGGGAGAACTTGCTATATTATATAACTGTACAAGGTTTGTTCAGTGGCCTATTATTTTTTACAATTTTCTTGGGTTTAATGTGAAGTTTGGGACTTTTTTTGTCGGCATTTCTGTCTGTAACTAGTCATCTTAAGGCATTTTTGAAACAAGGACAATTTACATTAAGGTGCACTGGTACCGTTTACTAGAACGAGATATGAATTCAATGCTGTTAGCATTTTTGTTTTCGAATAATACCTGCTAGGATCACATGCCCAGTTGTTGAGCGGGCTTCATGTCAGCGATTAGCAGCCTTATTTCAAGTTCCCGTTTTCTTCAGCCACCTGGTTACTTTGAGAGTTTAACTATCGCCTGACATTTTTGTTGGAAAGTGAACGTTTGTAGTCTCTTGTTAATGTTTTGTTCGTTGCAACTATCTACTTCAAAGCATCACAACATTTTAACCAAGTGGTATTCCAGTACTCCGTTTAAATAATAGGTTACATAAAGTTTGTTTTTCAAACCCTTTAGCACGATAATTACCCCATATTGTTTTTAATCAGTATCCAATTTGAACTTCGCCATTAGCTCAACCTTCATTGGCCGGCTCATTATGAGTGAATGGTGTTGCTGCGCATCCAGTGGCAGTATACGGCGAACAATAAGTCAGCAGTGTTTTCGTTTTGAATGGAAATGAGGTTGTTAATAACAAGATTTATTCAACACTAACTGACATTTCGTCAGTTTGGTCTTTTCAATCTCTGAAAAAGGCAGCAGCGCCGAAACTCCGGCCAGTATTGAATAAGTCTTGTTGTTAACAAAACCGTGTCTGCTTAAGAGGAAAACACTGACTTATTGAAGAATTCCAAGGTTAATGGAAAGTGGGTTTTGGTAATACATCGGACAGTTAAGCCCTGGCATGGCCAGCCAATTTGAGAAAGAATTTGACATTTCCAGCAAAGTCCAGCAAAAAGTATATGGAAGAAAACTTAATCGCAATCTCACAAATCTCGCTGTTATCCACAAAAGTTGCTGGTCGTTTGTGGTGATGGTTTGCTGTGGAATCTTGAGACGATCAGGTCATCCCCAGCTCGGGGCTGTGGGTCGAGCCCAACTGCTCTTGAAAATGGGCAGTTCAATGTCAAGTCGGTTCATGTGACTATGGTGCGTGATTCGATTTTCTTGTCATGAATCGCAGAGCAGTGTCCTATGTAATGAGGTGGTTCACGTCAACCGTAATTTTATCGCCATAAAGAACTGCAATCCTGTTACTTAATGATGAGTAAATTGTTTCAGAACAGCGTCTGTACAAGCATTAACCGACGTCCAGCTATGGGTATTAGATCGCAGCGTTTTCCAATTGATAACACAACGGCTTGGTATGGAGAGACATACGCAGTTAATGAACTTTCTCAGCAAGGTAACTAGTCCTGGTAGTAAAATAACCTGAAACCGAGATATTGTACCAAGAATACAAAGCAAAGTAATAGTTTAATAAGGATTGGAAAAGCTCCGGAAAAGTTTATTACGAACGTAAAAAGTGCAGTGGGTAATGCTTTGTTCGAAATCAATACTGGTTTAAACACATGGTGATCACAAACCTTGATTTACTACACAGTGTTTTCAGTACGTGGGATAAACCTCGTCTGACGTTATGAAACACTACTGGGCATCTAGGACACGTAGGAACTATCCATTGTTATTTATTCTGTGTGTGTTTTTTTGTCACGGTAGACAGACATCCAACTGGGTTTATAACAGGGTTGTGTTGAGCATATTATGGAGCAATAAACGACTGGAAAATCACTTCTGCTTTGGTTTTTTGTTCGTTTATTGTTAGGCTACCGTTTGTGGTGAATAACTTGATTAAAACTGTTGGGAAACTAGGAAGTATAACTCTGCAAATTCAAGGGTGAAAATAGAGCGACGTACGTGGAGGGGATGTAAAACGTAGGTGCGGACAAAATGCATAAAAAATTGTAATGTATAACACAGTAGTGATTTTTTATTTCTTTGACGCTTCGTTGGGTTATAAAATAGCTTCGTAAGAGGAGTGCAGAGCAGTATAAAATAGATGTTGTGAGATTTTTGGTTGCACTTTGTGCACTTTTAAAATCTGTCTTAGTGAAGCACTATTAGGATATAAGTGACTTACTTTTATTATACCCAATATGGAAACGCGGAGTAGTATTGATTTTTTTTTAAAACCATTTATTTACTTAGGGTCAAGTCACCTGTGTAGTCGGTTAATTTTAATTAAAAAGCCGTATTGATTACTTTAGGTATCGATTTTCGAGAACTTGTCCGAAGACCGTATTTCTAAAATGGCTGACGTAATGGATCAAGATTACTACGCTGCAGGTCACTACATTATTCGTCAAGGAGAGAAGGTGTATAAGTTCGCATGTCTTTTAAATTTTATGTTGATTGAAAATCGCAGTGTTAACTTTGTATATACTGCCTTCTGCAGTTTTTCACTACAGGGTATTATGTGTGGTACAACACTGACAGTGATACTGAGAAATTTGCAAACTCCGAACCGCAGGTATCTGCGGTGGGGAACGAACGCGCTGTCGCGCTCTTCCGCTTTCCGGGGACTAACGCGTACACTACCCCACCATGCGGGTTCTTCGTTTCGCTTGTCGCTGGGCTAGTTTTCTACCCTTCTATCTTTCTGTCTTTATCTTTTCAAAGTGTAATAGCGCGTTCGTTCCCCGCCGTATTCACCTGGGGTCCGGCGTGTTGCAAATTACTGAGCATCGTCGTGGTTTTATGTAGAATGTTGTAGGAATTCAGAATTTGGTTTTCATTTTCGTGTATGTCTTCCATAAATCTTTCTTTCTGAAAATTCGTTTTTAAGGGTGACGCATTCTTTGTTATAAATAGTGGAACTGTGAAAGTGACGCAGTTGATAGAGGGTGAAGCAGAGCCGCGTGAGATCAGAATTTTGAATCAGGTACGTTCGCACATGTTTTCACTGTAGCGGTTTTTTAGTAACATCTGTTGAATGTTCACTACGCTAAGCTCGTATTTTTCTTCTTTTTCTTTCGAATTTCATTGCTAGAAGTGTAACATTAAGGGTGACTTCTTTGGTGAAAGAGCACTCCTTGGTGATGAAGTTCGTACGGCGAATATTATTGCTCAGGCACCTGGAGTTGAAGTGTTGACGTTAGACAGGTCATTACCAGTTCTATTGAGTTGATATGCTTTTATTTGTGGCCTGATCTCAGTGAGATGTTTCTCCGGTGTAGTGAACCAATCTCTTAGCACGGTAGCGCCCAGTTGTAGTACGCACTCTGGAGCCGCAAGAAGTGCATTTTTTTTTCATTTTACTTTACTTTAGGGAATCCTTCCTTAAGTTAATTGGTGATCTCGAAGCACTAAAACGTGACTACGGTGACAAAGAACGATTGGCCCAAGTATTATTAGAGCCCCCTAGCCCAACAAAGGTTGGCTGTTATTTTTTGCAACGTCATATTTTCCTACTTTTGTGACGTCAATATTGAACCTTTAGGATATAATACGTGAAGAATTTGCACATGTTCAATTAAAAAACATAAAACGGTTAGCAACTTTGGGCGTCGGAGGCTTTGGACGTGTTGAATTGGTGCGTTCGTCGTTCAATTAAGACTGCTTTATGTGACTGTTGGAATTACATCGTTTTCTAGGTGTGTATTAATGGGGATAAATCAAGGACATTCGCATTGAAAGCCTTGAAGAAGAAACATATAGTGGATACCCGGCAACAAGAGCATATTTTTGCCGAACGAAACATCATGATGGAGACCAACTCAGAGTGGATCGTAAAGTTAGTTGAAATATGTATACACTATGTTGTATTTGTAAGATAGACGAAAATACGTGTAATTATCGTGTGGAGCATTTTAATTGTGACCCTTTACTGCACTACTAGTTTTCATATTTCATTAGACCAAAATCCTAAAAGACAGAAGAACAAAACCTTGAAACCCATGGAAGTCGAGTTCAACCCGATGTTGAGTTGTCTTCAATCTCTAAGGCGACCCGCAAAATTTGTCCCATGGACCTTTCGTTTACAGCCTTAAAAAATTTGAATGCCTAGATAATGGAGGTTAATGTTAAACTTGTTGGAATTGTAGGTTTTCGATATTATAGTAGATCATGTAAAATGCTTTTGTGAGGTTACATTGTAAGTTCTTCACTTTACATACATATTTCATACATACATACATACATATTTCACTTTATATATATCAACGTTTTGTTTGTTTTAGTACAAATGTGAACTCTTTTCGACGTTATCCTTACATTACACAATCGTTTTTTTTAGATTATATAAGACATATCGTGATACCAAATACGTTTACATGCTTCTCGAAGTCTGCTTGGGCGGTGAGTTGTGGACAACGCTGAGGGACCGGGGTCATTTTGATGATTATACTGCCCGGTTCTATGTTGCTTGTGTGCTAGAGGGTTTGGAGTACCTACATCGGAAACATATTGTATATCGTGATCTTAAGCCGGAGAATTGCCTGCTTACCAACACGGGATATCTCAAATTAGTAAGTCTTTAATTTTAAAATATCACTGTACTGTTTCTTCTAAGAATTTATGATCAGTTTAGGTAGACTTTGGTTTTGCCAAAAAGTTAGCGTCAGGTAGAAAAACGTGGACTTTCTGTGGAACACCAGAGTATGTGTTTTTGTCAATATGCAGAACTGATTTTCCTGCAGTTACTATGCTTTCATACTTGTGGTTACTTTTTTGTATAGAACTTGTTTCTAATTTAAGAGAACAGAAATTCCAATTTTTTCCTCATCCTCTTGAGGGTTCTATTGTATGAGTTCTGAATTACTTTGATAAGGAGTAGTATACTGTGATACTTGGATAGCCCATATTTACTGGTTGTGCGATCCAAAGCACAATTTCCATTCCCAGAGATTTGCTGGTTTAGGTATTTGTTCCTCAGGCCGTCACCATCCAGTTTGTCGCAGCCCTTGTGAATAAGAGGGAGATTTGCCATCATGACTAGTTTGATACCAGGATGGTCAGTGATTCTTGGTATAGGTTTACTCATAACTGGGATTCCTGATGGAAACGGTTGACTCCTCGGCTTGAGAGGCCTTGTTGAGGGGTGAAAACCCCGCTGTGCAATTGCAGTCCGAGACTCAGGAACACCGTCCAGCCGCGACGAGGCGGTTAACTGTTGGGAGGTTGATAAAGAGTATACATTCTGAACTGCTTTGATAAAAAATGTATGGGAAGCTTAACCATGGTTACTCATAGCACTTATTTCGTGGTGTCATAATTAAAAGTCTTATTCCCATAACCGACTGTCTTTTAACCTCGGCATTAATTGATAATTCGATATTTTTCTTCAATAAGCAGACACGAAGTTGTTATTAAAGAATTTATTAGGATACATTAGTTGACGTTTCGGCGGTTTCGCCTTCTTCGGAGCCCGGGAAGGTCAAATTGAGATGCGATCTACCCAACCAAACGCTTTCATAACCCTCGCAGATAAAACTTAACAAATAAATTTGTATTCGCATAAGAAACAGCTTCATTTAAACACCTACCGTTTATTTGTTGTCAGTGTTTAAGTTAGTTGGTGGATAGCAGCCCCACAGAGTAATACATGGACGATAACTGTGTCTGTGTCAGGTTATTGGATTAGCCTGAGGTATGGCGCCAGGTCACAAGGCACTCCTCCTTGCGGTTCATTTTTGAATGTTTGGAATTGATCCAAAACGCTTCAAGAATTTTACGTGCTGATGTTTCCCATTCGCGCGTGAGGTTATTGACTTCTACTTCAAAATCTTCTCCGTTGTGTTCCTGCATCCTATGCGCCTCTAGCGGAGTGTTTGGTTTCAATTTAGATTTACAGACTAAGTGTTCTTTTATGCGGACGCAGAGCGGTCTACCCATTTCGCGAACATATTCGTCCCCGCACACTTTACAAGAGATCAGATAGACTTTGAATCAATTCCGAAAATTCAAAAGTGAAACCGCAAGGAGGAGTGCCTTGTGAACTAGCGCCATACCTCAGGCTAATCCAATAACCTGACACAGACACAGTTATCGCCCATGTATTACTCTGTGGGGCTGCTATCCACCAACTAACTTAAACACTTACAACAAATAAACGGTAGGTGTTTAAATGAAGCTGTTTCTTATGGGAATGCAAATTTATTTGTTAAGTTTTATCTGCTGGGGTTATGAAAGTGTTTGGCGGGGTAGATCGCATCTCAATTTGACCTTTCCAGGCTCTGAAGAAGGCGAAACCGCCGAAACGTCAGTTATCGTATCCTATTAAATTCTATATTAACAACTTCGTGTCTGTTTATTGAAGAAAAACATTGAGTTAAAAGTCTTATGTCGTTTTTATGTTCGTGCCTAATAAAATCAGTAGTTTATGATAATTTTCTTCCTTTTTAAGCAGTTATATTTCTTTGAAACTGGCGTGGTATTTGTTTCTAGGTATGTATCACCGGAAATAATTTTAAACAAAGGTCATGATCAGGCTGCAGATTATTGGGCTCTGGGTACGTTTAATGTTTTGACATATTGACATAATGACATATTTAATTATGATGAAGTGTGGTTGGAGGTCTTCATCGACGTAGACTTTTGTCGAACATTTGCTTTCGTTTTGACGAACTGGTCGAGTTCGTCTGCTGCGTACCCTTTTTAAGTTATTTTGAATCTTAAAGGTGGTGCTGCAGAGTTCTGAACAATGAATTCAACACGATGGAATGTGTTTCAGCTGCATAGTCTGTATCGAGTAAAAGACCAGTTGTAACGATTTGAACAATTTCCACTTGTTTATCTAGAGCTATTTCCTACTTACCGTCACTATTAGCTCATGAGGCACGTGTGGCACAGTGGTCGAAGACGCCTTGCAACACTCACATAGGATCGATCCCCGCACCCGTGGCTCACCAGGCCTTCCATCCCTTCGAGATCGATGAATTAGTACCAGACTTGTTTGGGAAGATGGCAGCACTCTGGCTCGATACATCGGTAGGCCACCGCGAGTCATTATAATGGCCAAATATGCATTCAGTAGCCTTCAACGATGCTTGATGAAATCGAATGCATGGCGCATCCTTAAGTGATTGATCAACGCCGAATGCGTTATCCTTTATCCATTTTATTAGCTAATGAAACTTTTTTTATGGATGTACTCTGTTAGATTCTGTACATGAAAGGTGAAATCAAAACATGAAGCTGTTTCTAGGCATTTATATATGTGAGCTTATGTTGGGTCGTCCGCCTTTTCAAGCTAGTGATCCTATGAAAACCTATACTCTTATACTAAAAGGAGTTGATGCCTTGGAGATTCCAAATCGGTACGTTCATTTATTCTTCAATGTTGTGTCGTTTTACCTAATGTAAACAGGTGGTTTCAGCCGGATTGGCAAAACAGCCACGGCATTGGTCAAGAAACTGTGTCGCGATAATCCTGGAGAACGATTAGGGTCCGGCTCTGGAGGAGTGAACGATATAAGAAAGCATAGGTGGTTCATGGGATTTGATTGGGAAGGTCTGCGGTCTCGTGTTCTCAAAGCACCGATTCTTCCTAAGGTAATACGACTTACCTATTTCCGTGGTCTACCTTCATGAGAAATTTGGAGTGTTTTCAAAATGAGAAAGAGAGGCCAACATAGGCATTCACTGTTTGCCTTAACGTTGCTCATACTATTGCATGTTATGCTAAAACAGTGGTGTGTTGAACCAGGACGTTGTATTTGTAACACAGTAATAACTTGCGATAACTAGCTGATCGACAATTCGATGTTCATCAACTGGCTGACATTGAGATGACGCAGATTTCGGAGTATATGAACCGCCAAGCTTGCGCGTGAGAATCTGAGCCGATTGCTACGCCATACGCGCTCATATATGGATTGGGCCAAAGGTTTTCATGTCAGATAACGTGTTGTGTTGATTAAATCTGTGTAGTGTCATCAGATTGAATAACACCGTGAATTGTCATGTATGGTTTGTGTTTCACGATTACCATTTATAATATTTAACTTTTATTTATTGTTATTCTTTCATCCTTCCAACGGTTTACCGCCTCATCGTGGCTTGGAGGTGTTCCTGGGTATCGGGCTGCGATGTACAGCAGGAGGAATCATCCTGCCAGCAGGATCTCTCAAACTGAAAAGGAGTCCAGCGTTTCCATCAGGAAAGCTAGCTATGTGTAAACCAATACTAGGATCCACCACCATCATGGTACTAAACTAGTCGCATGGTGCCCAATCTCTCTCTGCTCCACAACCGCTACGAATGCCTGTGGTGGTGACGACCTGCGGTAAATTTTGCCCTGGCTGACCTCAGGGCTCCGGGGATGCTGGGGCTCGCGCAACCATTGAAGGCAGGCAATCCAAGTATTCAAGTAAATAAGTCCTACGACCGGCTTTCTATTAACCTCGGCATTGATCAAATAATTCTTTAAATTCTTGCTGAGCAAACGCGATCTGTTATTTTATTCTTTATTCAAGAACAAGTAAGTAAGGGTTCTTTCATCATGGCGGAGTGTTACGGTGTTTGGAATAACGACGATGATGTTGAGATGTGAGAAAAATTGAGAACCTCAGTGGAGCTTCGAACCCTCGATTAGTTTCCGAATGCTCGCACGCTGGCCACTACACCAAACACTGTCCTTGCTTTTTCTTTCTACATTTGCTATACTATGCTTACTATTGACACCATATTAACCTATTGTTTCTATTATTTTGTCATCACTTTATTGTCATTCAATATTATTTTTATTATTTATCATCTTATTTATCTTGTTATTTAATTCTCTGCTACATATACTCTTCATACTATATTAATTGCTCATAGGTGTCTAATCCGTCTGACGTCACTAACTTCGACAACTACCCTCCTGATCAGGATGTGCCACCAGACGAATTCTCTGGTTGGGATGAAGGGTTCTAGGAGTGGGAGCACGGTAAGTGCATGGTTTTCGTTGTTTCCGATCGTCTTTTTCAAATTACATGCACTCTTATAGGGTCGTTTTTAAAAGCTTCTTTTTGACGTTCCGCTCTGTATATCTATATGTCTGTGCTCGATTTTTTGAACGTCACATTCAATTATCAGATGACTACTTGCTTGTAATTAGTGCAGTTTTTTAACGTAATAGTACAATTCTAGTCCTCTAGTTTTTCTTATTTTCTTGCACTAAAACAAGTCATAATTCTCTCTTGGACTCTGTGTGGCGGTTCTCGTTCAGCTTATGGTAAATCGTTGAGGCTCCAGTGACTACCTTATTTAGTTTTATTTTTATTATTCGTCCTCTTCTACAGTTGTTTTCCTTGCTTTCTATGTTTTCATCAACGTTGAATAAGCTGCCATGTTGCTTCTATGGAAGAGTTTTACCCGGTACTCATAATGGACTTTTATGTCCTCATCTTGTTTTATATGGAAAGTGATATTTCACCTCAGCATTGAACTAATAACGTGTCTAATCAAATGTACACTCAACCGGTTTTTTGAAAGCTTAATAAAATTCTATGAGATCACCACTTCATTGCTTTGTTGTGGCCGTAAATGTGATAATCCGACATAGTGTGTAGTGTTTCCAGCTTAAAATTCTTTGAGTATGCAGATTACATGGTTTGTCGATGGAGCTTGTTGATAAAAATTCTTTCGTCGGAGATTAAAAATTGGAGGAAACAAAGCTTTTGTGTGGATATCATCGGATTCGTCAGTGGTTGATGTCACGCCTATTATGCACTATAGAGCCATATGTACTCATGTGAGGTCGAAAACTACTTGCCCCCAATGAAGTCCAATAGTTAAACTAGAAACTACCGGAATTTAGAGCTCTTTGCCAGCAAACGTACAAGTTTTTTATTCTACCGATATGGATTTACGATTATGTATAGTGTAAAAGGTGTTTAAATTTTCTTTTTCGTTGAGGTTCGCATTTCGAAGTTAGCAGACGAAGCTTTTCTAACAAGATGCAGTAGCTTCCCGAGTGTATTACCTACGCCTGTTCAGTGTTCTGATTTTTCTAGTTCTTTAAGGTTTTAATTTGGAAGGATAGAGATCTGAGTTGACCCATTCCTGAATGTAAAACACGATTCATGTGAAGCTGATGGTACGTGTAATTTTTAGGTATCTTAGAGTGATGAGGCGAATTTTTCAGTGTATTTAAGTTTCTCAAAGTTACAAATACTCCGTGTAATGAAAAATTTTTATCGGCTATCGGAAAGCAAAGAGCAAAAGGCGATGGGCATGTCTCAGTTGTCTACGTTGTTCATTCAATCAACTACGATTTCTGCTTTTTCAAGTCTCGTTTAGTATAAGAAAGGCTCGAAACCATCTGAGTGATGGTGGAGAACACTTAAAATCATAAGTGTAACATAATAAAAATGAAACTATGAAACAACTACGAACTCGATGTCAACATTTCTGAAGTTGAAGTCCTCTTCTGGCAGAGAGCTATAATTTGCCCTTTTATCGAAGAGCCAAATATAACTTCGAGTTTTCAGAGATTCAGTTTTATTTCGTATAACGGTAACAGTAATATGTAGTATGACAAACACGTACGTATTTTCAGACTCATTTAACCCCTTTATGTCTTCTTCCGTTTGTTCATTCGGGTTTTGCACATTTCCGACCTGAAGAGGTGTCAAATGTTTAGCAAGATTTTGGTGCTTCATGTTGTTCATAACACATTATGAAGCGGTTAAAACTCGTTAAATACTAGTTTATCGTTGTTTTGTTATTTTTCTTAAGCTATTTCGAGGACTTTCAGAATAGTTAGACAAATATCATGATGTTTATGAGGTTAATAACAATATTATGAGGTTTTGAATCTTAAAAAAGATAGCAGCCATCTGTTCCTTTTCTCTAGTACCATAGCAATCCCAGTCTACAGCAGAGAGAGGTGGGTCCTTGTGACTGTCCTTCCACCGAAGCAGTGGAAAAGAAGGGACTCATGTATTGTAGGACTTCGTGCCTACCATGGAAGCAGATCGTACTGCTTAGCTCTGACGAGCAGCAGACATATGGGAATTTAGTGGTATCCGTTTGTTACATCAATAACGGTATTACAGCTGACATAAGTGATCGTAGTAGTCCGCTGTAATACGGTGTGAAAAAACGGATCCGATAAGGCGACAACGCCTAACTAGAGACTATTCAGCATCATTCTGATGGAACGCCAACAAAAACGAATAGGGTGGCATGACACTGAAAATCGATGACTTACAGCTGCACTGTTTTTGCTTTGTGCACGTCATCACGTTTACTAATACATCAAGCATTCACGAGGTGGTACGAATTCTCACCGTTTTCATCTGTGTTGGAAAACACGGTGGAAACCGTGTGGAAAAATTGGTCTGTCGTTGAATTGCAAAAAAGAAGAACTGTGGGAAACGAAACCGTTTTTCCCTCGCTCAACGCAAAAAAGTCAAATCTGAATGTTCCAACTACACGTATCATAGACGAGGAATGAACATTACCCAAGAAAAAAATGGCTGTTTGTGGAGGGTACAAGTAATGCAGTGAAGGGGAAAACCACGTAACCCTAAGTAGAGCGAAAGATGACTAAGGTGTACGACTGCGTCAGTGAGAGGAGTATATCAAGTATATCTTCATCGATAAGTCAACAAATGAGCAACTTAGATTCAAAACAACGGCATGAAGAGCTTTTAAGAGTACGGAGCACTTTTTCAACCATGCGATGCCTCCTCTATTAACGAACTATAACAATGGACTTTATGTAATCAGTATGAAAGGCCACTCACTGTCATCGAATAAACTAACGAGAAGGTGAATCGGAGACTAACTCATATTCTGCAAACGAGAGAGAAATTAAATTGCCCGACCTATGTCGACGAAGATGAAGCGCCGCCGTACACGCTAAGATATCAAAATTCGGCCTTATCGCCCAACGGAATGGAACCGTTAGCGAATGGGTACTGCTGGATCTCTAACACACATGAAATATTAACGACAGGATGTGTATCGTACTTCGAGCATATCTCTTAGTTTTCCCTTTGAGGGTCATGGTCCACAGTTCTGGTCAGTTTTGAAAATGTAACTTGTGCGAATATCGCTTAGCGATTTGTAAAGCATTTAGAGGACATGCGAATACATCTGAATGATGTTGTATACAGACATCTACCCATCTTATTGCTAGTCATCACAAAGAGTTAGCGGGACATACTCAACAAGCAAAGTCTGCGGTATCTTAGAAACTGACCTTCATTAAGGTTCGGTAGCAATAATCAATAACATTCCGTATGGTTGAGCTGATACAAGGTTAGTAGAGAAACTTCTATTCGGCAAAAGTTATGGCACTTTCGCTCTCTTCAAGACCACGTAGATCCGAATCGATGGTTAACAGCTGGTCATGGTCACGATGTGAATGCTCGCTTTCGCGTCAAGTCGAATCCCATGTGGGGAGCACCACACGAATGGGTAACTTCACTCCGCGGTGCCCTTTTATACAGGACAAGCGCTGATCAATTGTCGTCTCTAGCATAATTTAAAGTGGGCGGGCAATACGTCCCATAGTAGTCCATGCTTCATTTGTTGGCACATAGTTGAAGATAGAATCTGCTCTGCGATAGTTATCAAGATGTCTTCGGTAACCATTCTTGTAGGAGGACCATACCCGTGTTTCTTCACTGAGCGGATATTCATTCTTCTTGTTTGCTTTTGTAGCTGCACCTGCCTTCATGCTTCTAGTAGTAATTCGTACTTGAGAGGGAAGAATCCAGGGTAGTTCTTTTTTCAACGAAGATTTCAAACTGTGGAGCTGGGATTGTGAAACGGAAAAGGCTAGAATAAAACTTTCTCCGTCGTCAACTGCATGTCATGGCGCAATTTTGTTGCAGTTACATACTCGTTCTTCAGGATAATAGCAGGACACTGTACTCGCATAATTCCCGACAGATGTTCTTTGTGATGCTTGCAGTAGTTTTTTGGCACTAAGTTTACCTGGAATTTATTACCAGGTATATTACGTATGTTACAATGAAACAAAGCTTCAGTTGTTCGATGTTCTCCTTAATTGTGCTAAAGGTGTGACCCCAGTATTTCGTTTAGAGAACCGTGCATGTTAGGCACATGTTTAGAGTCCTTTAACGAGAAGTTCTCTGTCAGATATTCTTTAATATCCAATTTTGTACGTTCAGAATACTCTCGTTTTTCAAAAATTGTCTTCTTCATTCTGAGTGAGGAGCTTTTTTCAGCATGTAGTTGAATTGAATCTTGGCACAGAAGGGGTTATAACTGAATTCGAATCCGATAAGAAAACATGATACTACGGAAAGTGCTGTCTTCTTTTCGTGAGGATGCGGTTGATGTCCGCATTAACCGTTCCCATTCAGCTCTTTTCTTGGGCAGCGGTGTTCTTCTTGGTGAAATCTGTCTTCGTGGAAATTATATTTTGTGATTAGTAACTCAGCAAAGTGGTTTCCATTCTCAATTCTATCTCTTCCCAATTTTCTGATTCTGTATTCGTTATCCACCGAGCTTTCCTCAACCGCTGTTGAAGTCTCGGGCAATAGATTGACAGCAGATATCTTCCTTCAACTCCTTATAAAACACATCTAATTCACACTCATCAGCTGCACACAGATTAGTGATTAGCAAGTGATTACGTATATCCGAGCGAATAGGATCTCGTATGATAGAAGTGATGGGTAACATATAGGTGTACCACGGGCTTGTACCATCGGAATTTCGTGGTGGGGCCTTTTCTGCAGAAATGGCAAGAGTTACTTTATTTAATTTCGTTCTTTTCTTCCGTTTTGGTTATTTTAAGGTGATCACATGGAATTTTATTTAAATGGTCGCTTCAAGAAAAAGGTGAAGATCGGTGTTTTAAGAGACTGTTCCAGTTTTGCAGGTATAGCGTGAAAAAAGTTGTTCATGACATGTAACCGGTGTCTTGTTCTAGTCCATTTTTAATGCTGTTA